CACATATATAAACAATTTAGGAAAAAGTTTACCAATGTCCATGTGGTTTACTTCAGAATCACTTATGTTCATGTGGTTTTTTCTTATCACATATGTCCCTGTGGTTTGTAAAAGGGTATGTTTTTTATCACATACATTCCTGTGGTTTCTTATTTTTTACAAAGCACAGGGGCATATGTGATAATAAAAAACCACAGAGACATTGGTGAACTTTTCCCAACAATTTAATAATGTAGTTTTTTAACATTAGCGTAACGAGGGACAAGGCCAGTCGCCTCCATGAAATTTCAAATACTGAAAAGATTGATTCTAACTTTGAGAATAAGACGTATACCAATTACCACATATTTAATTTTATTTATTTATCATTTTGTCCCTTTTTTAAACTATTAATTAATTTTTTATCAAAATTATATTTTAATATGTCCCTATTTAACCACGCTGACCACGAGTTACTTGAGTGACTGAGTCAGTGATTCGAATAACTTAAGCAAGTGGACAACTAAAATTTGAATCCACGAATATTTTTTATTCAAATCAAGTTCTAATATCTTGTATATATATAAACGAGAGAATAATTCGTTTACAATTTTTTTTTACAAATTACACTAAGTATGACCGGTCATACTTAGTGTAGTTTGTAAGAGTTTGTAAACAAAAAGTTTGTAAATATAACTTTCCCCATATAAATGAAGGGAAAAAGGTGTGTCATTTTTCAATGACACACCTTACGTCCTTTCACTCTCACAAAGAGGTGAGACTCATATTTTTAAAACTTTTTCCCTCCACTCTCTCCCATCATATATATCTTTCTCTCACTTAAAATGATACAATTTTATATCCTTTAAAATGATACACAATTTTCCTATAAATGAAATTGTGATAGGTGTTTGTGGATCTTTTACAATTGAGGAGGATGATCTTTAATTCAAGGTGTCAAAACATGATTTTCTATTAATTTTTTATATGACTTGTTAAATTGGGTTACTTTTTTTTTTTTTTTTTTTATAATCCACACTTATTATTATTTCATGCACACGCATATTTGGACATCATATATAGATTTGAGGGTCTAAAACAATTGAAAACAATCTCCTTCCGAGCTCTTTATACCTCAAATTAAATTTACTAAATTAAGTTATATATATATATATATATATATATATATATATATATATTTATATATTTATATTTGAGTGGTATTATTTTTAAAAAATTATACACATTTATAAATTTATACACATTTACTTTATCGTTTCCAAACCTATGAAAAAAGCATTTGAGATTTGAGACTATGTGAAAAGAAATAAAAATAAAAAATAAATCTCGTATACTTTTGTATATTTGTATAAGATATTATCTCCTTACTTGAAAACTTATATTCAGGTGAGAACTTTCCTCTTTTGGCGGTGCCTCCACCGAATGAGGTAGGCCAAAAGTGAGACGTATGAAACTTCCTTCTTTTGGGCTGTATCTTGACTTAAGACGTAAAAAAGGACTATATTTGGAAGTTGAACAACAAAATATTGAAAACGCCAAACCATTTTACCAAAAAAAGAAAAAGAAAAAGAAAACGCCAAACCACTAAAATGTTGTATTATTTAATTATAGGGAAATAATTACATCTTGTTTATAATTTAATTAATTAGACAGTGATGTGGATATGCGATGTTAACTTTTAAAATAAATATCTAGCACTGTAACTTAAAAAAAAAAGAGTCTTGCATGATTGTGAAATTGTGATACACAAATAATATATTAGTTAATGACTCTTGGCCGAGGACTAATAATAAGAGTTTTTAAAAGGTATGTTATACTTAGGAGGCTTTTCCAATAACCTTTTAAAAAAAAGTAAACTTAATACAGATTAATACCCCCGACTCTTATTAATACAAGAGGAGTCTTTTTATTATAATCAACTTTTTATTGTATTTGAATATTAAATTTATATAAAAATCATAAGAAAAAGTTTTGCACGGTTAAAAAAATTAATAAATATATTATTTCAAGGAATACTTTTCTAATAAGATATCTTCGTGCCAAGTTCACTCAATTAGTTTGACAGATGTTTTTTGTTTTTTGTTTTAAGTTGACGAATCAAAACCAACGGGTACAAACTCACAAACAGTGATACGATGAGTTTTACAAACAAATACTAAAACAGTGTCAAATGAAAGACCAATTCCGGGGGATTAAAAATATACAAATCCTCAGTATCAACATTTACAAAGAGAAAGTTAGCAAGCTAGTCTGCACAAAAATATCTTTTATGTATATAAGCACCAGCTGAACTCTTTAATCTTTTAGTAAATCATGTTCGTATAAGAGATAATATGTGAGACTCACGCTACACCATTATGAGTGGAATGAAAATGTGGAAGATTTTTTTAACTGTAATGTAGAAGATCTTTTATGAATTGAAAATTGTGTTTGTACATATATCTTGATTGTTAGGATAAAAGTTTAGATTAAGATTGGTTTTTGTTGGTTAAATATGTTTTTTTTGGTCGCACGTCAATTTTGAGTATTTGTATATGGGAGAGAATGATACAAAATTAATGTACAATACAAGTAATTATACCATTTACTTAAATTCTATTGACATAAAAAATATATATATTCTCATGTTTATAATGTTATTAAACTGTATATAGATGTGCAAGTTCTAACATAACTCTATTCACATTAAACAAATTCATATGAAAATATTAAAATTTCTAAAATAGTTTAAAAAATTAATATTATATCTTTTAAAAGGATAAATATTTTTTTCTTTTAATTTTTAGAAATAAAAATCTATTAATTTTTTAATGAAAGTTAATCCTTTTTGTTTATTTGAAATTAAAGTTGATAGTCAGTGTGAAAATGGTTGGAAACGTACTTTTCGCAAATGGGTTTGTTGGTCAACTATGCCTACGTATTAGGGGGGCACACCTCCGCCTCCATATTGGAAATATTTTTTATGTCCAGAACTACCGGATGATCTGGTACTTACTCTCATATCATTAATTTTTTTTTTCTTTTTTACTCTTGTGATTTTTTCTCTTTTTTAATTTTATTCCTCCATTTACACTAAGGACCACCAAAAAAATGGTGGTCCCGGTCCACTATAAATAATCTCCTCTATATTTACTCATCTTCAACATTATTGCATTTTGAAAATTTCAAAAGAAGAAAGAAAGAGAGAAAATTAACTGAGATTCTAATTTAATGATGTTAAAGACAAATAAGCATGTTAGGCATGAAAAAAGATAAGTAGAATATATTATCTTATTTAAGTATGATTCAGTTGTTACTATTTAATCATGATTAATATTTATTTAAAATATAATTCTAAATTTATCGATATTTGACAATGGCCTAATTCAATAAGTTTTATCCCTCCCTCGTGCAAGATCGATCCTACACCCACGTTACGTGGGATTCATTTTATTATTTTGATAATAAATTTAAAGATAAATATTGTTTATGTTGTAAGAAATAATTTTATTTTTAATAAAATTATATGGGACCCGTATGGGCCATCTAAGGAAAAGAAAGACAAAAAAAAGTATGGAGCACGCGCACACACACATATATATTCTTTAATTGCAGTGTAAGACTTATAAGTCTTACTTTTCATCTTAATTATTGATTTTTACCTATCTAACGGTTATAGTTTAGGAAATCATATAAATAAATAAATTATTAATTATACTACAAATAACAACTGTTGATTTTCGCCCATTTAATATTTGTCCTTTTAAATGACATAGAGTTATATTATTTTAAGTGAGAGAAAGACACAAGCAATAGAAATCATTGGAGAGAAAATGAGTATTTTTTTAAAAATTTAAATAAAAAATATTAGGTTGTGTTTTTCTTCACTTAAAATGACACAACTCTGTATCTTTTCAAAGAACAAATACTTTTTCACACACACATATATATATAATTTATTTTTTTTGCAATCAATGTAGATAAATTATCTACATTTAGTCCAAATGATATCATTTTAGGGAAAAAATCAAGATATTTTTATAATTATAATTTATTTTCGAATTATAATAATCTTCCATATTATAATTTTTTTAATTTTTTAACACAAAATAACGTTATTTTGGGAGTTAATATAGATAATTTATTAGAAATATTAAAGCTGCACACACACATATATGATAAAGAAAGAGAGAGAAAAAGAAAATTATAACCATTCAAAGGTGAATCAATTATTATAAGGAGATAAATAAATAAAACGTCATAGTTTTTAAAATGACATAGTTTTAGAGTAGACGGAGATAAATAAATGCTTGAGAAATATTTCTCTCTCTCTATATATATAGATAAATATTTATACAACCACTCTAGATAAGGTTATCTACCGCTATACTTTATAACTGTATACTCTGTGAGTAAATAGTTATAATATTACAGTTATTTTTTTCTCTCTTCAGTCACTTTTCAAAACCTGTCTGCTAATGTGCAGAGAGAAAAAAACAACTTTAATGTTATAATTATATACTCCTGATAGTATATAGCTGCAGAAGGAGGTTATAATTATAAATATACTCCTTGAAGGTGATTTTTGGAAGGAGAGAAAAAAAATAACTTTAATTATGTACTCCGGATAATATATAACTTAAGGTTATAATTTAATCTTTTATATATATATATGAGATAAAATTACCAAAAATACTCATTCCATAAATTGAATAGTTTTTTTTTAGAATGCATCACATGGCTCATTTTGCGTCTTATGTATATAAGTTTTAAAATTAAATTCAGATCACATATTTAAGAAATTTGATATTTTTCTTTAAAATTTACGAATAGTGTCACGTGAAGAAAAATAATGATAACTTTTTATGGTGAGCTGAGAAACAGCTTTATTTAAAAATAATAATTATAGGGCTTTTGCCCTCAAATAATACCCCAATTTTTTTATTTTTATTTTATTTTATAGAAAAGTTAAAAAGAGAAATAGTAAGAGAGAAATTCTCCTTGCAAAAATTGATAGAAAACTTATGGATTACTTTCCGTAACAACGTTCTCTATAAAGCTCCTCCCAAATCCAAATTCTGCTGCATTTCTTTAGGAGTGACAAAAACGGTTATTGCCGGTAAAATGCCCTGCTATCCGCTCCGGTGAATTCAGCTGTCGCCGGTTGATCTTTGATTTTTTCTCTCCGCATTTCAATTCAGTTCCATGATTTCCAACCCGTTTCTTTCTCAATATGCAGTACTAATTCTGGGATTAAAATGCAGAGCCTGCATTTGTGGTATTATTTCAATTTTTTATTTTCTGGCTGAATGTATCAATCATTGTGTGTTCGAATACCAGCTTTTGATTAGTATCGGAAAATAAAATAGATATTAGTTCTTCTGAATCCACTAATTACTCTACTTGAGCGTGTTTAATTGAATGACATGCTGTTCGCTGAATAATTGTTTTTCATACTTTTCTTGTTCCTCCAATTCGAAATGGATCCCGTGTTGTATAAGCATAGATTGTTTCGATCAATTTTCAGTTTGTCTTCTAATAACTGACTTATTTTATCAGGTCGTGTGAATGTTTTCTACTTTTCTGGTGTGATTTCTCATATTTGAACTGCAATTTGGACTGATTGAGACCCTGTTGGTGCTTAGCCAAAAAAAAAGATTGAAAAATGGTTGGGTTTTCCAGTATGCTGGGGCGTGAGAAATGTGAAAGCTACTTCATTTTTAGTGGAGAGACTGCTCTCGGAGAAAATTTTCGGGCATTTTTGTATACCCTTGCCCTTGCCTATTGTTTCATTGGATTATCAGCTATAACAGGCCGCTTCTTCCTATCTATGGAAAATGTGGTCAAGCACACAAGGGAGGTAGTGGAGGTTGATCCTATTACTCAAGCTGAAATTATTAGACATGAAAAAGTTTGGAATTACACAATTGCGGATATTAGTCTGTTGGCCTTTGGAACTAGCTTTCCTCAGATATCATTGGCCACCATTGATGCTATACAGAACATGGGGAATCTGTATGCTGGAGGTTTGTGATTCAAAGCTTTTGCCCTCTTCCTTTCTTATGATAGAATATTTGAATCTAGTTTGATTTGTTTCTCGATTTTCATGTAGTAGTAATTTTTGCCGCAATTTCTCATGTACTTATCCTTTGTCTTTATACTTTGTCACTTGTTACTTACCTTTTACTGCTAAAATTATACTTATCTTAGAGAATTTCTTGACTGGTTTGTTGCTAACAGCCTTAAACTGACTAAAATTATTGAATCTTGCTACCTCAAAATTTGAAAGAAAAAATAAATACTTACATGCGCGCATCATGTTTGCATTTTATGTTACATGAGTTATTTAGCTTATGTTAGAGGTTCTTAATGGAATATTTTAATAAAAAGATTTGTTAAAACAATTCAAATGCAATGAAAAAAGTGAGATGTGCTTTCAAACTATGACTTATGTGCATACAAAAATTGTCTCAAGCTTACTTGCCCCAAGAAACACAAGTTGACATCTTTTATTTGCTTTTATTATAAGACTAAAGAAAGCTGAATGTATCACTAATTTTTCCTCCTACTTTTCTATCTCTGATTTGCATGAAAACATGTTTTGCTACAACATAGTCGCTGCTGGCTAATGTGTGGTTCTCCAAATTTGGTTTCTTTATGCTTGGAAATGCAAAGAGTTGTTACAATGAGTGAGTTGAGTGCGTGCAATGAATTTTTTCCTCTTGAATAATATTTGACGCTGCAGTATCAGTATTTGTTTTATTATGTTTTCCAATTCTTTCTGGTTAGCTGAGGGGCTGAATATCAAGCACTGTTGTAACTCTCAATAACTCTGCTGAATATTCAGGTTTGGGACCTGGAACACTTATTGGTTCTGCAGCGTTTGACCTTTTCCCCATCCACGCTGTTTGTGTAGTAGTTCCAAAAGCAGGAGAGCTGAAAAAGATTGCTGATCTAGGAGTATGGCTGGTGGAGCTGTTTTGGTCATTTTGGGCTTACTTTTGGTTATACATTATTTTGGAGGTAATATTCCAACATTCCTAGGTTTAAAACATCTTAAATTTGTACTGTCTGCATCCTTCTTATCTTTATTTACTCATTTATGGATGTGTGAGAAATATAATCCGAGACTTCTTTCTCACAAGAAGCCAGCTTCACTTAGAAACTGTATTAACCTATGCAAAATTCAGGGAAAGATAGAGTGTGAAAACTACTGAGTATGCTTCTCATTTTCAAGAATGGTAAATGTGGTTCTTAGTTAGGTACTTAAATGGTCAATGTCTATAAGTGCATTTGCGTCTTCTAAGTTGACACTGAATATCCTACACTAGCTCGTGCTAGAATCAGCAAGTCGGGACAATTTTAAGTCACTACTCATACTAGTTTGATAAGTTTAGAAACAATCAAATGTATTTAAAAGTCAACACGTAAGAGATGATGATCTTGTTTAACTATATCATTATTTGCTACTTGTTTGATTTTTTTTTATTTTTTTGTGTGTGTGAAATATTAATCAAGAAGCTCAATGTAGGTATGGACTCCTAATGTGGTGACTCTGTGGGAGGCCTTGTTGACTGTACTGCAGTATGGATTACTACTGACCCATGCTTATGCTCAAGACAAACGTTGGCCCTATATTTCTCTACCTATGTATGTGTTTCTGTTTGTTTGTTTTTATTAGAATTATCCAAAAAGATCAGGATTTTATGAGCCTCTCGAATCTTGTTCTCTTTAGCCTGATGCCTTATTTTATATTTGAAGTGCAAGAGATGAGAGACCAGAGGATTGGGTGCCAGAAGTTCATGAGAAGGTGAAGTGCTCTGAGATAAGTAATGTTAATAAAGAAATTGTGGACACAGTTGATATTTTTTCCATTCATTCAGAAAACCCCACAGGTAGTTTTCCCACCTTAATTTAGTGAAATTTTGCTTTACTTAGCACAACGTTTTCTTCTTTTGAAATAACTTAGCATTAGAAACATTCTCAAATGTCCGGACCATCTTGTATAATTTTTTTTCTAATTTGCAGATCCAAAGTACGAAAGAGTACCTCAAATAGATGATGTTGCTGAAATTTCTGACAAAGCTGAGGAAAAAATGTTGGAGCATTTGCTCACAATTTGGGGAAAGCAATTTGTGGATGCACTGAGGGTACGTTATTGTATGTTGCAAATGCGTCTTTAAGATTAAATGTTGATATCATAGATTCAAGAATAACAAGTTAACAACAACCACAACCGAGCCTTACCCCATTAGTTGGGATTGGCTACATGGATCGTTTGACGCTGTTGGCCTCTTCAAAATCCAAAATTTTAATAAAACTATTTAGGGCAAGATCTTATCATAGATTTATGAACATTGCCAGTAATACTGTTACTAACTTATTATGATTCAGTTAACCAGGTAATTTCTGTGGTTTTATCGATATGGGCTGCTTCTTATAAAAAATGAATTCTCATGTGATAGTACAGTGATCTTCTAATATTTTTCCCGTTGTTTGAACTGGCCATTGAATCGTTTTAATATTATTTAACATATTAAATAATAAATTAACATAAAATTATAAGAAATTAAGTAAAATTTTAAATCAACATAAAAGGACCATATTATATCTTTTAAAAAATTAACAATGGATGTTAAATAATAGCAATCCATGCATTTATGTGTCACAAAAATGTTTTCGGTTGAATAAAAAGTATAAAATAATAATAATAATAATAAAAGCAATTTAAACCGGTTTTGGACCAGTTTCTGATCGTTTGGTTTTTTGGGTTGTTTGGACTGATGACCGGAATGTTTCACCGGTTTTCCGGTCAAACTGATTCATTCCGGTTTTTATAACATTCATTTACCAACATAAATGTCACAAACACACTTTGTAAGATATTGTTAAGTGTGTGTCACGATATATCATTATATTATAATGTGTTCTTGAATGAATACATGATTATTTGCTGTCAATAAACTCACTCTTTTTAACCATAATATTATTGCAAACCAATGGAAAATTATTGCAAATCAAAGAAGCACAAAGAAAACAAGAATAAGCAGGAAAAAATATGATGAGTGGCCTCATGGATTTTAAAGGAAAACTGCAATTTGAAGGTCATGGCTGTCCTTCTGCTCCTGTCTTGATCTCACTCTTATTGTCTTTTTCCATCTGGTAATTCTGTATCATGAGTCCACCTTTCTCGCCAATTTTTATTTTCTGAGTTTGAAATCATATTCTCTCTCTACTTCAATCCTCCACTTCTTCTGTCTCTTACATTCACAAAGGAATGCCAGTATCTCTGTTTACTACCAGTTAAATTTCAGATGGACCAAATTTCCATATAAAGTTAGCTCATGGTTTGCAATGTTTCCAACTTTACTGAGAAATTACAAATGGAATTCCTAACTAGTCAAGCTAAATTTCTTCAGGCAAATCCCTATTGTTACTTCATTTAATCATAAATTGATTTAAACCTTACCCTTATTGAAGTTAGGACTTGTATAGAACGTTGCTTCATGAATTACAGAAAATCAAGAGTTATTCATTGTTAAAAATAAAAGTTGCAAATTTTGGGGCCAGGTTTGGATACAGTGCGATTTACTAGCCTTACATCCTTTAATAATTAGGCACTTTTTAGTAGAGGCACGTTTGTTCGAGATTATGAACATTAATTTACTATTAAATAGTACTCCTGTAGAATTCCAACAATATATCATCAATTTTTTATGACCAGTGTGTAATTTCTTCGACAGTTGGAGAGCCCAGAATCGAAAAAAGTGAACAATGTCTATCTCCGCATGGCTCAAGTTTTCTGGCAATTGCTGTTTTTACCATGGAGATTTCTTTTTGCTTTTGTTCCTCCGTGCCATATTGCTCATGGATGGATCTCTTTCGTTTGCTCTTTGCTTTTCATCAGTGGGATAGCTTACATTGTGACTAAGCTCACAGATCTTATAAGTTGTGTCACAGGTTTTCTTTCTCACTCAGTGATATTCCAGTCCACTTCTTTACAGTTCCTTATAGATCCAAAGTTGTTGTAAAGAACCAATTCAATCCAAAAGCTTAAGCTATTGGGTGAGGTTACATTAATGATTTTATATATCTCAACACGTCCCTTCACACAAGAGCCCACCAGGCTTGAAGGGTAGACAATGCACAGACCCACCTACCTGTGCGAAGAAAGAAATTTCACTTGAAAGAAAGTGGGGGACGGTGAGGATCGAACCTGGTACAGAGAAGCTCTGATACCATGTAAAGAATCAATTCAACCCAAAAGCTTAAGCTATTGGGTGAGGTTACATTAATGATTTTACATATCTCAACAGTTGCCTTTACGTTGACAGGAATAAATGCTTATGTTATAGCATTTACAGCACTAGCCAGTGGAACCTCATGGCCTGATCTTGTTGCAAGCAAGATTGCTGCTGAACGTCAAAAAACTGCAGACTCTGCAATTGCAAACATCACTTGCAGGTTTTCATCACAATATGCATCTCATTCTTGCTTTAGGACTTTCACATGTCATCATTACATCATGGTTTGCCTTAAAGCTTTTCTTGAAGAAGGATATTAGTTGTTAGTAATATTCATGAAATGCAGCTTTTGATTTTTGGTATTTTAGTAGTTTACTCAGACGCTTCTGAAAGGAAGTTACATTCTCAAGTGGTCCAACCCTGCTTTGATTACCTGTTTCTAGCATTTCATATGATTCAAAACAAAATTTGGTCGATATTATTAAATCTATATTCCTAAATATAATAATCATGCAGCTGGTTCATGGAAGTTCATTGAAGTATGTCAGCAAACTATGTATGTATCATTTTAAGTTATAATGTCATCAACAAGAGGACTGAAACGTTAATTGCACAAAAAGATTTATCTTAAGGATGTCCGTTAATTCTAACCCCAAGATGTAGCTTAGTTGGTAAGCAGACTGTAGCTCAAGGGTCGGACCTTGTGACTGATGAAGTCACGAGTTCGATTCCTACGAGAAGCACTTTGGGGCCGGTGGTGAAAACCATTACGCTCCAAGCCATAAAGGGATTAATCTCATCCTATGGGGTGAGGACATCCTGACTTTACTCAAAAAGAAAAAGAAAAAGATGTACGTTAATTCTTGAGAATTATGAACTTAGGTGAAGGAATTATTTACTTATTAATTTGCTGGGAGGATATTTAATTGAATGGCCACAAGGACTACTTGGACCTGAGTTTGGCAATTGAAATTTAAAATATTGTGATCAGTGAGTACATTTTTTGAATGTAAGAGGAATACATTTTTCCATCATGTCAAACTTCCGAATTCAAAATATTAAATACCTATATTCATGACAATCGGTAGTCATTCAATATGTGCATGGAATACCCAATAATCCAGAGGTCTTAGGTCCCCAGTTATATTCTTTATTCACTTGGTCCTGGCAAAGTATTCCAGATATTAGGTATCTTGGTATATAATACCAATATAAAAAAGCCAGTAATGCCTTATTATAACTAAACAATTATTTGCTAGAATTTTAGAATCAAATACCATTATTTCGTAAGATGCTTTTGTTGTTTCATTTTATACCAATCTGAATCCTGTATTTATGAAGCATGGATGAAACTTAAGCTTATTTTAATGGCTTGCCAAATCATTGTTGTTTTTCTGAAGAAGCTTTATAGAGTTGGTTAACTCAAATTAATATGGTTAATTCATTCTCTTTGCAGTAATTCGGTGAATATATACGTTGGCATTGGTGTTCCATGGCTTATTGATACTTTGTACAACTTCATAGCATATAGAGAACCACTTCGGATCCAAAATGCAGGGGGGCTAAGCTTTTCGTTGGTTGTTTTCTTCTCCACTTCTGTTGGGTGTATCTTAGTTTTGGTTCTTAGGCGTCTAATTTTTGGGGCAGAGCTAGGAGGGCCAAGGCTCTGGGCATGGATTACCTTTGCGTTCTTCATGTTGTTGTGGATTATTTTTGTTGTACTATCTTCACTCAAGGTTTCTGGATTCATTTAATATTATATTTAGGAAACAGAGATAGATCAACTTACACTAGTGTAAGAATAATAAATTTTACACCAAATTTATTAAATTTGGTGCAAACCCTTAGCAATATCCTTTGGTGCATTATGTTACCCTGGTGCCCTCTCCCATCATCATTACACCTCTTCCTTCGTAGGGTCAAATCTCTTAGCTTTTATTAGTATTTTTCTTTGTTTTCATATACTACATACTCATATTTTTTAGGTTGGACATTTTCCTTTTTATGATTTACCCACGTAACTGATATTGAATTATCCTTGGTTATGCTTCAATAATAGAAGTGAGTCCTTAGAGAGAAAATTACAACAACAAAGAAAAGTCTTATGACTGGTTTCAGGTGAGTTCGGTCTTTATTTCATTGATGCTCGTTGGTTAGGACCTGAAACATTTATGAATGACACTTTCTTCTAAATTACATTCAAATAGTGGCATACAAAACACTGACCAAATGATGATAGCTCAGTTGACTTCAGGGAACTAAACAAATGGAGGTGAGAGCATGTGTTCGATCATCTTCAATATCATTTTCGAGAAGAGTTTAAAATCTTAATTCCGAGATCTGCCTCGAATCAGACTAGTCGCGAAGTGATGAATCGATTAGAATATCTAAAAAGAAACACTAATTTTCTATCGGAGATAAAAGTTCGTCACATGTACCAAAAAAAAAAAAAAGTTCGTCATTCCCCAATGATCATAATCATAGTGATAATATGGGGAACATGTTTAGAAAGTCAATTGCAACCAAAATGGTGTTTGTCCTATACTTCTATCCGCTGTACGAGCCCCTCCCCAAGGTGAGAGTGAGCACATACCATCAGCAACATAAGTATTCTTGGGTTTAAAGAGAAAAAAAAGGTGCACTGGTATGTGCAAAATCTATTCATTCTATTTCATATTTATTGTTTCTAGCTTGTTGCACGCCTAACAAACAAAGGAGATTGGAAGGTCGATTTACCACGTCGGCACAAAAATTGGATTACAAATTAGTGGTTTGATTTGCGTGGAGATAAGAGTTTATACTTTATACTATTAATCAAATCATGGACATATGAACATGTTCACAAAGTTATAATTACACTTAAACAGAAAATGAAATGACCAACCTACCTACATATCCGCCTCTGTTTAAATAACTGAATTCTTGTTTTTTTGGAGAGGGGTATTAACGACATAATATGAGAGGAAATGAAATTGATTATAGAAAAGTTAGGTGGCAACATGATTAAGATTAAAAATAAGTAGAACCGAGTTCGGCAAAACTTTATATGGATCTAGTTTTTTGTCATTTTCATCCTAAGCATTGGATTTCATATTGCCACTGCCCACTGGATATTAGGGTAGTTCTCAAAGTAAATTCATATTCATTAAAATTAATAACTTTCATATGATTAACTTAGTACTAAAATCTCTCTAAAGTTTGATCAAATAGTGAGTATAATTCTTACTTTCATAACTAAAATAAATAATTGGGAAAGCATAGTTCATCTTACCTCCATCGTAACACCATCCATTTACATATGATTAATTTAGTACTAAAATAATAAGCATAATTCTCGCATACTTACCTCCTTTATTCTTCATAACTAAATTAAATGAATATTTACCCATTCTTGATATTATTAGAAAATATAGATACCACAGTAGCACCATCAATTTTTAAATTTCAAAATTCTCCCAAAATACCATTATTGATGACAGACATGAATTTTGGACTCTTATCTACTCAGAAATGATACCCGATGGAGTCGACATGCCATTTTACGACGACTAACACTTGCCTTCCAGAAAATAACACAAAGTTTCCAAATTAAAATAATGTATTTGGCAGTTACAACAGAACTTCAGAAGGGGAACCAAATCTTGTTCATCCAGCACCCTACTACCCAATCTGCACAGGGAAGCAATCCACATCCCAAAACAAACTTTCTTATGCTCCACTAGAACTTCTAGCTTAAGCAAGTGCACCCGTACATGCAGTGGCTGGAGCACCTTCCAGCTGTTTCTTTGCAGAACTGTATTTTTTGGTAATAAACCTGCACAAATCAACGACATAAAAAATTCACAAATCATACACGGTAAACACCCATATTATTGTCAGGAATATTATCTATATATATATTTTTTGCCAACAAATGACACAGCAATAAATGTTATTTAGAATATTATGACTTTCTATGAAAACAAAAATGATAACAGAAAAGAGAAAGTGCGATCATTATGAAGTGTTCTCGAAGCATGCTCATTATGAGTCAAATAGGAAACTTGCATTAGAAATATTGTGTTTTCCATGATTTAGAGAACCACAAGGCCACCAAATGATGGTAGCTCAGTTGGTGTAAGGAAACTAAGCATGTGAAGATAAGAGCATGTGTTTGATCCTCCCCAGTACCGTATTTGGGAGGAGTTTAAAGCCTTAATCCCGGGACCTGTCCCAAATCGGACTAGTCGTAAAGCAATGAACCGATTGAAATATCTCCAAAAAAAAAGAGAACCACAAGTCCCCCAAGTTTCGTATTTTTGCAATAGGAAAAGAAAATGGTTGCGTACTTTTTGAAAGAAAGTTAGATAAAAATAACACTTTCATCACAAATTTGTAACTTTCTGTTTAGAAAATAAATAAATAAATTCCCGTGCTGGTGCACTGGCCATTTCCATATATCCCATGACAAAAGAGTAACAGTAACGTTTCAAATAAGGTCAAAAGATCTGTACAGAAAAATAGTTACCTAAAGAAGTCCCTCCAAAGCAACTCAAACATCAACCAATTTGTTCCAGTTTTGGATGAGCCGCTGCCACCATTGCTTCGGTTTGATGAAGCAGAAACCGCTCTATCAAAGTTATATAATTCATCAGTAAGGATATGCCCTATTCATAGCAAAAATATTAATACTATTAAACAGAAGAACATATCGGAGCACACCTGCTGGCAGTCTTCTTTAGCTCATCAAACATTGTGCGAGGGGAGAGGCATCCCATTGCCAACCATGGAGAAATTTTGCAGGAGAAGTTGGCACCATATATACTATCTTGTGTTCCATCCTTAAAACCTTTGTGAGGTTGAGCTTCGCTCTCAGCTGCAAATCTTTTGAGCCTCTGCAGTGCTTCAGTCTCCCCTCCTACCATAGAAGTATTAGCCGCTGGCTTCCCAACCTGCTCAATGATCACAACGAGTATAGATTATTGATGATAATACTTCAATAGTTTGACACAAGAATGCTGAGCAAAGATGGATATCAGCATAAATGCCAAAGCAGACATAGTTTAAAAATATTAAGTAGGGGTGGAAATGTTCAGTAAAACTCAAAAAGATAAAAAATAAAAAATAAAAAATAAAGCAGTATCAAAACTCAGATAGCAATAGTGTGCAGCAGAGGTAAGCAAGTGTAATCTTGGCAGTTCTTAATCTAATCCTACATTTCATGAACACATTCACTCAGACATATTCAAACCAAAATAGTATCATCTCTCAACCAGAACAACCATTTTGAATGCCAAACTTTTTACAGCACCTAAAAAGCCACTATTTTTTTGAAGATCCAGAACTACTTCACGCCTCCCTCTATTTAACAGAATTCTATAATACTCATTCATTTCTGAGCCAAGATCCTGTTAACTGAAAGATAATTAGTATTAGGGGAACTCAAAGATGACAAATCAGTGTCAAGTTCAACCAAATAATTGAACCAAACATTCCATCACTCATCTAGATTTACAACAATATCGCATGCCAATGTAGCATAAAGTTAAACCGCATACAGGGAAATAAAGTAATCCGTACGCCAGAAAACAACACAGAAAAACCACAACATTATTAAAATCAAAGCAGTTAATTAATAAAATATTAACATAAAACGGAAAAAAAAAAAAAACCAAATAAACCTGTGACATTGTGGAAGATGGATTAAGGCCAAGGTCCATTAAGGAGGGAATATCCCCAGGCTCAACATCTCCACGAGAAGGCAATCCCTTAAGCTGATCCAATGCTTCAAATGTCTTCCTTATCTCCAATTTCTGAACTTTTTCCCTAAACCCTCCATAATTAGAAGGCATATCCTCCAAATTAAAAGGCAAATCATCAACATGGTACAAAGTACTCCCCCAAAAGTACTTCACCTCCACATTCTCCTCTTTCATCGCCGCCTCCACCCTCTCCTCCGCCTTCACCTCATCGTGTGAAACCTCTCTGTGAGCATACACAGCATCTGCTCCAACGGCCTTCGCCAATTCAACCAACACAGTCTCTGGCTTCCCAACCCTCACCACAAGATCAGACCCTCTTGCCTGAAGGTTCTTCCTAAGGTCCGAAACCGATTCGATGAGGAACGTGGCACGGTAAGGACCCGTTTTATCAAACCCGGATGAGGATTTCCCGTAATCCACAGGGTCGAAGCAGTAAACGGGTAAAACCGAAACGGATTCGTTGTTTGCTTTGTCGAGGCATTCGTTATCGTGGACACGCAGGTCGTTGCGGAACCAGAGGATCGAGGCTCGGCGAATGGCAGCGCCGTTGGAAGGATCTAGAGGGCGGTGAGGACCCAAGTTGAGTGGGGTTTGAAGAGGGTTTGCGGAGATGGTGGATTTGAAGGAGGTTTTGGAAGGAGAATGTGAGGGTGAAGAGGTTGAAAGTGAAAGGTGTGTGAGAGATGAGGCCTGGGTTGGGACCTTCACCTTATTGGGTTGTGGTGGAGACAATAAAGACGGGATTTTGGGTTGGACGAAGAAGTGGGATTGGAGAATGGTGGAGAGAGAAAGGGAGAGTGAGGCCACCGCGAATGGAGGTTCCGACGGCGGTGTGGGAAGTGGGTTTTGGTCACCGTTCTCTGTTGATGGCGTTTGGTTATTGGAAATGGAATCCATTTTGGGGTTTGGTTTGATGAAGTTGAATGAGAGGATAACCTAAATGTGTTAAGGTGAGCTGGGGTTATCTAGTACCTACCCCTGTTTCTGGTTGGGTTGTGATGTTCATTCAGATAGTGTCATTGGTAGGTAAGGTAAGGTACTAGACTTTTTCTCTGCCTCTGTGGTTTGGATTGTCGCAACTCGCAATCTTCACGGTTTTTATGTGTGTTTTGTTTTGTATCTGAATTTGACTGTGCTCTGTAATTTTTTAGGCTTTGGAGGTTATCCCCCAATGGCCAATGGTACCACCTAACTCTTTTTTTCCTACTAGCATTTCAACTTTCTTAGCTTTCGGTCTAATACAAGTGCTTGTTATATTTATTTATTTTTCCCTGATAAATCACACATATTTTTGAGGTAATTTTTTTTTTAAAAATGATATTGATAAGAATCAAAAATATACTTTCACTCTTATTTACTCCACTCCTATACATTATCAGAGATACCATCATTTGATCTAATTCTTCGTTCTTCAATTATGTACAAATGAAATTTTGTAAAAGTATGAAATTCATAAATTTCCCCCTCACCAACAAACATGGATTTACATTACACGTGTGGGCCAACACAATATATAAAACAAACGAAAAAACTAGGTGCGCGCGCATTATGTATAGAAGAAATTCTTATATACTTGCGATTTATAACTTTTTTCTTTTGTTAAGAATTTGAATTATTATTTGATGTTTATAAAAAGAAAAATGATATCTTTTCACATAAGATAATTTTTCTTATGTTCTTTCATTTAAATTTTTGCACTCCATTTTTTTTTTTTTTATAATGGTGAGATTGACCCATTTTTTCTCTCCAATATAAAATGATTATTTTATGTAAAAAGAGAGTAATAAAACACTTACAAAAAAATATTTTATAAATATGAATTTTTTTTATCTTGATCTTTGCAATCTTTTATATTTTTAAATAATAATTTAAGTGTTAAGGTATTTAAGAATTCGTATTATAAAAAGTTACTCTTACATACACACCGCGAGAGGAAAGGACAGCTAACACCACATATAAATACAGCTTCAACTCAAGTCTCAGGATAACTGGTGAAAGTGAAAGTTAGAGATGAAGATCCCTGTTCCATAGTTAATGGTTTTTGCGCATGCACCAGCCTTTGTTTATAGTAAATAATCTATTAGGAATATAAGTTTTTTATTGTATTTTTATTTCTTAGCTTCTAGAATGTAGTAGCTGTAGCTGACGTGTATAGTGTTGTGCACCATTCTATTAGAGTTGCTGATTCATTCATTCTGTTAGGATTTCTTAGCTGAGTTTGTTATTTTAAGCTTTTAGAATTTTTTCCTTCGTTGTATAAAATTGGTGCTTTGTATACTGTTCAGATTATCAATGAATATACAAATATTCTTCCAATCTTTCTTCTCTGCAATTTATTCATTGTAATATGGTATCAGATTAAAGAAATTTTTCCTCATGGCTAGAGGCAAGAACCCTGCTGCTACGGGTTCTGATTCCTCTGCCGATGATTCCTCCAGTCCTTTCTTTCTTCATTCTGCTGACCACCCTGGTCTTGTTCTAGTTGCTCATCCTCTTTCTGGGGCCAACTATCATACATGGCGTCGTTCCATGATCATGGCCCTCCAAGCCAAGAACAAGTATCATTTTGTTGATGGATCCTTATCTCCTCCTTCTACTGATGATTTACTTTACTCTTCCTGGGTTCGTTGCAACAGCATGGTTTCATCTTGGATTTTTCATGCTGTTGATCGCGATATTGCTGACAGTCTTCTCTATATCCCCACCGCTAGTGGCATTTGGACAGATCTCCGTGATCGATTTGAGCAAAGCAATGCTCCTCGCATTTTTCAATTGAAATCTCAACTTGCTGCTCTTCGACAAGGACCTCTGGATGTCAGCGCTTATTTTACTTGGTTGAAAACTCTTTGGGATGGCCTTCGTGAGTTTCAACCGGTCCCAACCTGTAATTGCGGTGGCATTCGCACATTCAACCAGTACCAGGAGCAAGATTCCTCCATTCAATTCCTCATGGGACTGAACGAATCTTATGCTGCAACCAGGGCTCAAATTCTTCTCATGGAACCGCTTCCTTCCCTCAGCCGGGTTTTCTCATTAGTTGTCCAGGAAGAACGCCAACGTTCCATCATGCCGACATCATTTCCTGTTTCTGATCTTCAGCTCCTTCCTGCTGTGAATGCCACCACCGGACCGTCCAGACCTCGCCGTGATCGTCCTTTTTGCACCCATTGTTCCCAGCAAGGCCACACCATCGAGAAGTGCTTCAAGCTGCACGGCTTTCCGCCTGGGTACAGAGGCCGCACCAAGCCCATGGACAATCCAACCCATCTGAATCAAGCCCATTTGTCTGCTGCCACTTTCCCCCATAATGGGCCTTTTACACCTCAGCCCAATCCATCTAATCCCCTCACTCTCACTCCTGATCAGCTTTCCCAAATATGTTCCCTGATTTCCACCCACATCTCACCGACAACGAGATCCCCATCTGCATCCTCTGACCATGATTCTTCATCTCCATCTGTTGCCAATATTACTGGTATTTCTTCTACTCTTTCTCGTTCCTCTTGGATTTTGGACACCGGGGCTACCCATCATGTATGCTGTAATCTTTATTTTTTTACTTCCACAAAATTAATTTCTAATTTTTTCGTTTCCCTTCCTGATGGTACCACCATTACTGTACCTCGTGTAGGTTATGTTTCTTTTCAAGGTTTTACCCTTTTTCCAGTTTTGTTTGTTCCCAAATTTCACTATAATCTCCTGTCTGTTAGTGCTTTGTCTGCTGCTCTTGGTGTATCTGTCACTTTTTCTGCTTCATCGTGTGTTTTGCAGGATCCTTCGAACTCCCACATGATTGGGACTGCTGATCGTATTGGAAATCTCTATGTTCTTCGTGAGTCTCCTCACGTTTTTGCTTCTGCATGTGCTGTTGAAGCTACCTTTTCCCTTTGGCATACCCGCCTCGGTCATCCTTCTTCCAACCGTCTATCCCTTTTGAAGTCTTTTTTAAATTTGCCAGTTGTTTCAACTCATTGTAATTCATCTTGTACTGTTTGTCCTCTTTCTAAACAGAGGCGTTTATCTTTCCCTTCTCATAACAATTTGTCAGAATCTACTTTTGATTTAATACATCTGGATGTCTGGGGTCCTTTTTCACATTTGTCCATTGAAGGTTTTCGTTATTTTTTAACGATTGTTGATGATTGTAGTCGATACACATGGGTTTATTTTCTGCGTTCAAAGTCTGATGTTGTCAATATATTTCCTGAATTTTACTCTCTTGTTCTCACACAATTTAACAAGAAAATAAAATCTGTGCGCTCTGATAATGCTCCTGAGTTTAATTTTGACTCATTTTTTCGCACCAATGGCATCATTTCTTTTCATTCTTGTGTTGATCGCCCACAACAAAACTCTGTTGTTGAGCGAAAACACCAGCATATTTTAAATGTTGCTCGGTCTTTACTTTTTCAGTCTAATATCCCTTTGATTTATTGGTCTGATTGCATTCATACGTCTGTGTATCTCATAAATCGTCTCCCATGTCCCATTCTTCAAAACAAGTCTCTTTTTCAAGTTCTTTTCAGTAAGGATCCATCTTACTCTCATCTCAGGTCATTTGGTTGTCTCTGTTTTGCATCCACTCTACCCAAGGATAGACATAAATTCTCTCCAAGGGTTGTTCCTGTGATTTTTCTTGGGTACCGGTTACAAAGCCTACAAAGTTTTGGATCCTGCCACAAATAAGGTTCTTATCACTAGAGATCTTGTTTTTCATGAAGCTTCTAAAAATCCTCACTGGCAGCAGGCCATGAAACTTGAATTGGATGCTTTGGAATCAAATGGTACTTGGTCCCTTGTCCCTTTACCCCATGGTAAGAGGGCTATTGGCTGTAAATGGGTTTATAAATGCAAACTTCATGCGGATGGTACTTTGGAAAGGTACAAGGCTTGTTTGGTTGCCCAAGGTTTCACCCAACAAGAGGGCATAGATTTTTTTGAGACTTTTTCTCCAGTGGCTAAGATTGGCTCTGTCAGAATTTTACTTGCCTTGGCTGCAATTTCGGGTTGGGCTCTCCATCATCTGGACATCAACAATGCTTTCCTTCATGGAGAGCTTTCAGAGGAAGTTTACATGCGGCCTCCACTTGGCTTTCATCGTGAAGGGGAGTCTTCATCTTCCACTTTGGTTTGTAAGTTACACAAGTCTATTTATGGTCTAAAACAAGCATCCAGACAATGGTTTTTGAAATTCTCCTCTGTTTTAATTTCACATGGTTTTAAACAGTCAACAGCTGATTCTTCTTTGTTTGTTAAAACACAAGATGGAAATTTTTTTGCTCTTTTGGTGTATGTCGATGACATCATTGTGGCTGGTAATGATGGGGCCAAAATTGATGATCTGAAGTTTCTCCTAAATCAGTATTTTAAGCTTAAGGATCTTGGAGAATTAAAATTTTTCCTTGGTATTGAAGTAGCAAGGAATTCTAAAGGAATATCACTAAATCAAAGAGGTTATGCTTTGAAGATCTTGTCTGATTCTGGTTTTATGGGCTGCAAACCAAGATCTACACCTATGGAACCTAATGGAAAGCTCTCCTTAGAAGAAGGGAAATTATTAGATGACCCAACATCATATAGAAGGTTAATTGGCAGATTATTATACTTGACAATCACTAGGCCAGACATCTGTTTCATTGTCAACAAATTAAGCCAATTCCTTGCTTATCCCAGGGAGCCACACATGCAGGCTGCAAACGGACTACTGCAGTACATTAAAGGAACAGTTGGACAGGGGCTGTTCTATGGCTCTGAAAATATTGTGAAACTCAAGGCATTTGCGGATTCAGATTGGGCATCATGCCCTGATACAAGGAAGTCTGTCATGGGTTATGCAGTATTCATTGGAGAATCCTTGGTGTCATGGAGGTCTAAGAAACAAGCTACAATTTCAAGATCTTCTGCAGAAGCAGAATATGGAGCAATGGCCAATGTTTGCTGTGAGTTAACTTGGATTAATTCTTTACTGGATGATTTGAATTTGAAACATGAAAAACCTGATTTGCTGTTTTGTGACAATAAGGCTGCTTTACACATAGCAGAAAATTCTGTTTTTCATGAAAGGACAAAA